TTTTTCATTTTTTGTACGAGGCGCATTTACTTTTAAATTTTTGCTTAATTCACACGAAATTTGTGCTTGTTTCCTCAAAAGTTGAAGGATATTCGTTGATGAGTGATTTTTAATTGACCATGAAATGTGTATTACGAGATAATTAAATAATCTTTGTTGTCTGAGAGATTTGATTAACGAATAAATGATTTTAAATTGACCATTAAATGATTTTCTGTCATTGAGGCATGGGGTGAGCGCGGGCGGGGCCACAGGGCAGGTTGCCTAACCTCTATGTACCGCGAAGATGCTGTCGTATGCGGACTTGCGGCAGTTGCCACTAGTGTAGCGAAAAGCTATTCATCGACAAACATCAATTCACGTGGTCGAGTTTATCGGCCAACAAAGATCTCTGGTTGAACTGCCTCATCTTAAACGCCTTGAACCACAAATAACACCTCGACCCACAAAGATCCCCGACTTAGACAATTGCGCTCCACAGTTCCTTAGTTATCACCATTTTTTTTATTTTTCTTTGTATATTCTTACTTATAATAATGGCTATGATATTATTATTGAACAAATGATATTATTATAAAACAACGAAACTAGCATCTGGAATGATGATATCACTTCCTCAAACAAATGGGTTTGAAGATTTTGGGAATGAGTGTACCTTTAAAAAAAACAAGGCTTTTTTTTTGTACAAAGATAGAGGTCAGAAGCCCGAGAACTACGATACTAGAACGCGACGTGGGTGAGCCACCCCACGGAAGTCGTGGTCAAGCCATGCATCCAACCTTTAGGGGGTGACGAGATTCTCTCTAATCCTAACGAGGAAGAGGCTTCTAGTGTCGCCATGTAGTCAGCCGCAGAGTTGACTTCCCTATGCACATGCTAAATCCGAATGCTCCAGTCTCGATCTACCAAGCTCCTAATGGATCTAACTAGGGACTCGTGGACTCCAAAATGAGCTTGTGGCCCCAGTATCATTTTCCGCACACGGTGGTTGTCGACTTCAGCTACAACCTGTCGGAAGCCCAGCTCCCAGGACAGCTGTAAACCCTGATACAAGCCCCATAGTTCGGCTCCGGTAATAGTGCCAATCCTAATAGTCATAATAAATCCTTCAATCCATCTACTGAACTCGTTCCGAATCAATCCACCCACACTACACAGGCCCGTGGTGTGACTAAAAGCTCCGTCTGTGTTCACTTTGACCCATCCCGAGTTCGATGGGTGCCACTGGATCATGCGTAGAGTATGTAATGTCTCCTTCACATAGGCCGCGGCTACCTTTAAGTACGATTTCCATTTACGGAGAATATCCAAATAACGAGTCTCATAGTCTAGCGTCCGGATATTAAATATTCTATCATTTCGCCATTGCCAGGAGCTCCAAACACCAAATGCAAACTTGTTGTTCCAGTTTTTGTACATGCCCAGCGGCGCCCTTCCTAAATTACTCCTCATCCATAACCGAAGTTCTTGTTGAAAGAAACGACGCTCAATACCTGGCTGGAGGAGTTTACGCCACATGCTCTTTGTAATCGGGCAATCGCGCAGGACATGCAGCGCTGTTTCTGTCGCACCACATATCTCACACGCCGACGAGCTAGCGAGATGCCGCCGGACCAGTTCGCCGTTGGTCAGTAGACGGTCGCGAGCTGCCAACCATAGGAAGGTTCGGACTTGTTGCGGCACAGGGGAGTTCCAGATCAACTTCCAAAGCGGTCGATCCGGATCACTTACCGGTTGAGCTAGAGACGTGTATGCCGTTCGCGTAGAGAATTGTCCATCATGAGAAGCACACCACATAAAGCGATCCGCCCTGGCTATTTCTCTCGACGGAGCGATCCCACCAATCCGCATGATAATTGTTCAGGGGAGAATTCCATGAAAATCGTCCCATCTCCAGTTAACCCTATCGTCCACGTAATCCACGACATTTAGGCTAAGACTTTCTTCGAGAGGCCACTGATATAACATGATTAATAAGTGGGCCAATTGGGCCTACCCAAGGATCGAGCCAAAAACGCACCGTCTCCCCATTGCCTACATTCCACCGAATCTCTTTAATTATATCGGGCCAAATCTTGTAAAGGGCTCTCATTAATGGTGACCCCTGACGGCAACGTGGATTATCCAAGCTGTTCGAGGGAGTGAGCCCGTACAGGCTTTAAGTGAATGTCAATGAATAGTTTGCTTTGAAATTGACTTACTATAAGTTAATCTTTCATTTGTAATTATGTTTTTCCTATTCCTGTTTTATGCTTTCCATTCTTAGTTATAGGTATTTATAAATCATTCGTATGTAATTATGTTTTTCTTTTCGTGTTCTATGCTTCCCATTCAAGCGAGATGCTTTGTAATTTTGAACTCTCCTTCAATGTCAATTTGAACTCTTTCTCAGTCAGTTTCCCTGTTTAGTGTAAATTGTGATGAGATAAGTAAATCTAAAAGAGGTTAAGTTGATGAAAACTCTTCTTGACCAAAAGGTTTGGTCCATTGGACCCATTCAATCCATAAAAAATAAAAAATAAAAATCTTTAAAAA